AAAGATATTTTTTAAAAAATCCACGCCTTGTATTGGTCCTTGAAAAGATATTTTTTAAAAAATCCACGCCTTGTATTGACCCTTGAAAAAATATTCTTTAAAAAAATCCACGCCTTGTATTGACCGTCGAAAAAATATTCTTTAAAAAAATCCACTCCTTGTGTTGATGACCCTTAAAAAAATATTCTTTAAAAAAATCCACGCCTTGTGTTGATGACCCTTAAAAAATATTCTTTAAAAAATCCACGCCTTGTATTAGTCCTTGAAAAGATATTTTTTAAAAAATCCACGCCTTGTATTAGTCCTTGAAAAGATATTCTTTAAAAAATCCACGCCTTGTATTGATCCCTTAAAAAATATTCTTTAAAAAATCCACGCCTTGAATTGGTCCTTGAAAAGATATTCTTTAAAAAATCCACGCCTTGTATTGGTCCTTGAAAAGATATTCTTTAAAAAATCCACGCCTTGTATTGGTCCTTGAAATGATATTCTTTAAAAAATCCACGCCTTGAGTTGGTCATTGAAAAGATATTCTTTAAAAAATCCACGCCTTGTGTTGGTCCTTAAAAAAATTCTTTAAAAAAATCACGCCTGGTATGGATGCTTGAAAAAATATTCTTTAAAAAATCCACGCCTTGTATTGATCCCTTGAAAAAAATATTCTTTAAAAAATCCACGCCTTGTACGGATGCTTGAAAAAAATATTCTTTAAAAAATCAACGCCTTGTATTGATCCCTTGAAAAAATATTCTTTAAAAAATCGACGCCTTGTATTGATCCCTTGAAAAAAATATTCTTTAAAAAATCCACGCCTTGTATGGATGCTTGAAAAAATATTCTTTAAAAAATCCACGCCTTGTATGGATGCTTGAAAAAATATTCTTTAAAAAATCCACGCCTTGTATGGATGCTTGAAAAAATATTCTTCAAAAAATCCACGCCTTGTATTGATCCCTTGAAAAAATATTCTTTATAAAATCAACGCCTTGTTGTTGATCCCTTGAAAAAATATTCTTTATAAAATCAACGCCTTGTATTGATCCCTTGAAAAAAATATTCTTTAAAAAATCCACGCCTTGTATGGATGCTTGAAAAAATATTCTTTAAAAAATCCACGCCTTGTATTGATCCCTTGAAAAAAATATTCTTTAAAAAATCCACGCCTTGTATTGATCCCTTGAAAAAAATATTCTTTAAAAAATCCACGCCTTGTATTGATCCCTTGAAAAAAATATTCTTTAAAAAATCCACGCTTTGTAGGGATGCTCGAAATTATATTCTTTAAAAAATCCACGCTTTGTATTGATGCTTGAAAAAATTTTCATTAAAAAATCCAGGCCTCTGCTAGTCTTTGGAAAATGTTCTTTAAAAAATCCACGCCTCTTTTATTCTCAAAAAAATCCCTCTCATAAAATTTTTGTTTATTTCTATTTTACAGTTTTCGATGAAGACTTTGTCTTCGAAGAAAGTCCCCAGATGATTGCCAAGCGTACCATTGAAATTTTGATCTACGATTTTGATGCCTACTCCCGCCATGTGTGCATTGGTGGCGCCCAAATACCATTGTCAAATTTAGATTTAACCAAGAAAGAGAAATTCTGGACACCGCTGGGAGCCTGTGCTGAGCAGGATATGAAAGTTGATTTGGGTGATGTCATGATCAGCTTGGCCTATTTACCCTCAGCTGAACGTCTAACAGTGGTTATTATTAAGGCGCGAAATTTACGTATTGTGGATGATTCGCGTAACTCATCGGATCCCTATATTAAAGTTGTCCTAATGATACCCGGCAAAAAGAATAAAAAACGTAAGACGGGAGTTTTGCGCAACACCACAAATCCGGTATATAATGAGGCACTGACCTTCGATGTTGGCAAGGAGGCTTTAAAGAATGCCACAATTGAATTGACGGTCGTACATGATGGGCTATTGGGTAAGTATAAAGGAATAAATCCGTCCTATTTTGTCAACTAATTTTGAAATTTCCCTTTAAGGTTCCAATGAAATTTTGGGTCGTGCCATATTGGGCAGTGGCCCCGATGTACGTCCTGATGAGAAACTTTTCTTTGAGGAAATGTTCCGTTCGAAAAATGCCACAGCACAATGGGTGCCACTGCAGGATGTTAACACAACACGTTCGAATTAAAAAAAAATTTTAACCTCTAGTGGAGAGTTACAGCTGTTAACTACAAGACCAAAGACAAGATCCACAATAATGATTGGTGTCTACGATACGGTGGAGAAAATCCTCATCCAACAGTTTGATGGCCACTGGCTGTTAATAAAATTGTTAACAAATGTTACAACAACTGTTATTGGTAAACAGAGCTCTGTTAACATAATTCGAATTTTTACAGATAATTTATTTTTCGGAAAGGACTTAAGGAGTTCAAAACAAATAAGCGAGGTTTTTGCAGGGATATTTTAGAGAAAAATAAAAAATTGGAAATGCTAAACCAAATTAAATAAAAAATAAAAATAAATAATTTTAAATTTAAATAAAAAAACTATTTCCATATTGGTGGTCAATGATCTTAACTAAATATATTTGAAAAAAATTATAAACAATTAATAAATGTGCTTTAAAAAAATATATTCATATATATAAATGGAAATAAGCTACAATATTATGTTTGAATTTCCAACCGAAAAACAACAACAACAACAACTAATAATATTGATGTTTTATATTCGACATTATTATATATATAATGGTAGAAAATCGAATAACTCAGCAAACTATTTTATGGTTTATCTAAATGTCCATATGTACCTCACGTTTACATTACCGGTAAAACGTCATGTAGAATCAGTAACTTCCTTGAAAACATTAACAAAAGGGATAGTAAAAACAAACAAAAAATCAAATGAAACAATTTCAGTATTCTCGTCAGTCGATGTCATGAAATATTTTATATTTAAACGTTTAGGAAAAAAAATTATTTTAATTTTATTTTTTAGAAACGAAAAATTATAAAAATAATAATAAAACAAATATTTGCCAGTCCTTAAGTATTTACATTCATAAAGACGTACATACATTTATCCTAAAACACACAAACACATTTAAAATATATTAACAAAGGAATAAACAATAATCTTATTATATACTATATTCTTAAATGTAAACATTTGTTTAAATAAAAAAATATATATTAAAAAAATAATATTTTTTTAATGGGTGGAAATTAATTAATAAAGGCGTTTTTTTAATTAAATACAAGGCGTAATTAGAATTTTTTTAAACATAAATATTTTTTAAGGCGGCGTGGATTTTTTAAAGAATATTTTTTCAAGTAACCATAACAAGGCGTTGATTTTTTAAAGAATATTTTTTCAAGTAACCAAAACAAGGCGTGGATTTTTTAAAGAATATTTTTTCAAGGGATCAATACAAGGCGTGGATTTTTTAAAGAATATTTTTTCAAGGGATCAATACAAGGCGTGGATTTTTTAAAGAATATTTTTTCAAGGGATCAATACAAGGCGTGGATTTTTTAAAGAATATTTTTTCAAGTAACCAAAACAAGGCGTGGATTTTTTAAAGAATATTTTTTCAAGTAACCAAAACAAGGCGTGGATTTTTTAAAGAATATTTTTTCAAGGGATCAATACAAGGCGTGGATTTTTTAAAGAATATTTTTTCAAGGGATCAATACAAGGCGTGGATTTTTTAAAGAATATTTTTTCAAGAGATCAATACAAGGCGTGAATTTTTCAAAGAATATTTTTTAAGGGCCAAAACAAGGCTCGGATTTTTTAAAGAATATTTTTTAAGGGCCAAAACAAGGCGTGGATTTTTTAAAGAATATTTTTTCAAGTAGCCAATTCAAGGCGTGGATTTTTTAAAGAATATTTTTTCAAGGGATCAATACAAGGCGGGGATTTTGTAAAGAATACTTTTTCAAGGGATCAATACAAGGCGTGGATTTTTTAAAGAATATTTTTTCAAGAGATCAATACAAGGCGTGGATTTTTTAAAGAATATTTTTTCAAGTAACCAGAACAAGGCGTGGATTTTTTAAAGAATATGTTTTCAAGTAACCAGAACAGGGCGTGGATTTTTTAAAGAATATTTTTTCAAGTAACCAGAACAAGGCGTGGATTTTTTTCAAAGAATATTTTTCAAAGGATCAACATGGCGTGGATTTTTTTCAAAGAATATTTTTCATAGGATCAACAAGGCGTGGATTTTTTTCAAAGAATATTTTTCAAGTAACCAAAACAAGGCGTGGATTTTTTTCAAAGAATATTTTTTCAAGTAACCAAAACAAGGCGTGGATTTTTTAAAGAATATTTTTTCAAGTAACCAAAACAAGGCGTGGATTTTTTTTAAGAATATTTTTCAAGTAACCAAAACAAGGCGTGGATTTTTTTTAAAGAATATTGTTTCAAGTAACCAAAACAAGGCGTGGATTTTTTTAAAGAATATTTTTTCAAGAACCAAAACAAGGCGTGGATTTTTTTAAGAATATTTTTCAAGTAACCAAAACAAGGCGTGGATTTTTTAAAGAATATATGGAAGCTATTGTAAAAAAGGGATCAATATTGACCATATGTGTTATGGTCAATGTTATCCAATGTGAATTCACAAAACCAAATTACATTCGATTCAAAAAAAGGGTTATTATTAAAAGTGGACCAATATTGATAATTTTTGAAAAATGAATACGAATAAAAAATATAAAATTACATGCAATTTGTTTGAAAATTTCGAAATTCGTAAGGTTCTCTATGCAGGATATTCTTAAAAGTAGACCAAAATACAGACATATACCCGAGAACTTGATAGTATATCCAAGAGGTGTGTTGACCTTTAATTACCAATTATGGTGTGGCATGAACTCCGATGTGGGAGTTATACGTACATTTTTAAAGGGCAGAAATGTCGTTTTGAAATTTGACTCGAAGTTAGGGTTATGTTCAAGAATGACTCCTATAATTTTCGGTGATGTTCAGATGATATTTAGTGGGTGCAATGAACCGAAAACTTTAATGTTGTCAGATGTTTACACGGTGATGATCGGTCAATATTCCGAGGGTCAAATCAACCAAAACTTAAAGTGACCAAAATTTTATTTTATGGCGTAAATATTCACGCCGAGAAATCAAATCTTGGAAAATATGCCAGGGTTTGAAAGTGGAGTTGTTGACCTATTATCGATCAAAAGGGTGCAAATATGGTGAAATATTGCAAGACTCCGAATGTAGAACCACAGAATGTTTGATTTTCGTGGTAGTTGTGTATCATGCTTCTCCCACTGGTTTATTTATACACTACACAACCATGTTGTCAGGGTATTATAGCTTTGTGCAGCCCCAAGAGTTTGTAACGCCGTGAAATATTGGTCCTAGACCCACCTTTAAGTATACCGATCGGCATATCTCGACTAGCTGAGTCTATCTAGACATGTGTGTCCGTCCGTCTGTCCATTATAATTTGTAAACGCGATACAGGCCACAGTTATGGATCAATCTTCACGAAATTTTGCATGTAGTATGGGTTCTGGCCAATGAAGACACCTATTGTTTTTGTGTAAAGATCGGTTAATATTTAGGGGATGAAATGGACCAAATACTTAATTTTTGTCGGTTTTTGTGGATGCTCCAGAGGGCGCAATTAGGGCGCGAGCATCGGGACATTTTACATGGAGAAGGCGATCGGGCTTAAGAATAAGCATGCCTGTTTTGATAAGGATCGGTCAATATTTAGCGGGTCAAATGGACCCTGACTTTTGTGTGAAAAATTACAAAATTTGTATTTTATTGCCTATATACTTGCCCCTGAAGGACATAGACCTGAGAAGTTGATTGTATATACAAGAGGAGTGATTCACCTTTAAATTGGTACCAATTATATGATCGTACGCACTCAGATGCAGGGATGGTCCGTCAGAAAAAGTGACGTAAATGACATACATTTCCGACGTATAATACATACGTCTGAAACGTCGGAAACCCATGAAAACCCATTAGGTTTTTGACAAAAGAGTTTTTCCATTAGTCAATATGGAAACTACACATGCTTTAATTAAACCCATATCAAAATTCAAAAAAAAATCTCAAATATGTTTAGAATTTTTTGTCAGGACTATGAAGGAATAATCAGATATACGTAAAAATATATATTCATGAAAATAACTGTATCTGGCGAAAAAATTGAAATAAATGACGTTTACTACATTTATTACATTTTATACAGGTGTATTACGTTTTCGACGTTTACAACGTTTTGACAGTCGAAAACTTAAAAATTCGTTACACGGACCATCCCTGCTCAGATGTGTGAGTTACACGTAAATATTTACTGGTGCTTACGTACTCATATATTATTTAGTAACCTATTACCACATTAGAGGGCTAAAAAATAGCAGGGATCGCTTTGAAATTTGCTATGAGGATCCAGGTATGGTCAAGGACAACGCCTATAATTTTCGGTGATGATCAGATATTAATATTGGGATGAAGTGGACAGAAAACCTAATTTTTTTATTTTTTTCGATTCGATCTATAAGCCACAATTGAAAGCGTAGTATTGCCCAAGCTTAGAATGTAGTACCAAAAAAAGTAAGATTTTCATGGAAGTTGTGTAGGGTATCATATGGTCGGCCCTGTCCGACTATACTGCTCCGCTCACTGGTTTTTATAATATTGTTGTGATAAATTACTAAACTGTTAATGTCATTATTCCTTATTCATTGTGAAAACTTACCTCTGATACAAGCTCTTCATGTCTACAGCTTCTAGTGTTGCAGTTATTGCCATCTATTGGGATTGATATTTTAAAAATCTATCCTTGAATGATTTTTTTTAAATCTCTTTTACACTACAAATTTATGTATAATATCGACCTAATACCGACATTAGAAATTATTTAGAAAATTAGCACTTGATTTAGCCAAAAATACGCAAAAGAAGATGGATGAATGCTCTTGCTATAATTTTGTGTTTTCTTTAAATTCCATTGTTTTTTTTTTTAATCCGGCAATGAATGTTATTTTCTTTACTCTCTTCCAATAACCACGACAAACATTTATTATTTACTCTTATTAAGAGTTTACGGAGATAGGGACCATATGAAATTCATATTCTCATCTTACAATAACAACGATCAAGAGAGTTAGCCCTTTACACAAAGATATGCAA